GGTGATGAGCTTCTGCTCCACGTGCGTGTGCCGGGCGCTGTGGCTACGGCCGTGGACGAGCCCTGGGCTGTGGCAGCGACGCCAGTCCCAACACACCCGCCTCTTTAGCCCCCGAGGGCGCCTCCTCCGGGAAGCTGCCCTGATTGCCCCTCCAGGACGACATTCCTTTGCTCTGAGACCTATAGACCCGGCTGCGGCGGGGGCACCGGTTTAAAATGTCAGGTTTTAAATGGAATGGAATTCACTGGGTCTGGTCGGGTCCACCCCAGCCCCTGGTGAGTGGTAAGCAGGCTCTGAGGCCGAGCTTGGAGCCCACACCCCGCCGATTTCACCGTGGCCTCTGCATCTCCTGGCAGCCCGCGTTTGCTCCTCTACATCATTCACCCATTTGTCCTCTCATTCATTCAACACACAGGATGAGTCCCCCTAGGCCGTTGGAAGAGATGGGGCTGTAAGGACAACCAAGTCCATGGCCTCCCTGACTCCAATCTAACAGGACAGATGACGAGGAGGGTCAGTTTGGCCGCAGCATTAGGAAAATGATCCCTTTCCCCCAAAGAGCAGGGATTAAGCCTCTAGTAACCACTCCCTATGAGTGACTTCATACCCTTAGCAACATGCATAGTGCATTATAAGCACTCAAGAAGTGGTACCCACTTTTCAAAGTTCTTCATACAATCTTCATACAATCCTTACAATAAAGGTCTATCCTTACAAAAAATAGACAAAGCAAAGCAATTTTTAAAATTTTATTTTTATTGATTTTAGAGAGAAGGAGAGTGAGATAAAAACACCAATGTGAGAGTAAAACATTGAAGCCACCTCCTCACACATCCTGACGGGATCGAACCCACAACCTGGGTATGTGCTCTGACCAGGAATCCAACCCACCGCCTTTTCGTGTGTGGGAAGACACTCCAACCAACTGGACCACACTGGCCAGGGGTGGACAAAGCATTTTAATACTCACTTTATAGATGTGGAAAATGAGTTTCTGAGTGTTCCAGTGACTTATTCAAGGTCTCACAGAACTGATCCTAATCCATTTGCATTCATCATGTAGAACATGATTAAAAACAGTAATAAACAATGCTACTAAAGTGCCAGCTCTTGGCTAAGTACCATAGAGGTCAGACCTAAACATAATCCCCGAAACAACTGTAGGCAGCAAATGCGACTGGCATTCTAGAGAGGAGGGCACAGAGACTCAAGACGTTGAAGACCCTTGCCCAAAGCCACCCAAATAGGAAGGGACAGAGCATAGCAGGGGTCCTCAAACTTTTTAAACAGGGGGCCAGTTCACTGTCCCTCAGACCGTTGGAGGGCCGGACTATAGTTTTTTAAAAAAGCTATGAACAAATTCCTATGCACACTGCACATATCTTATTTTGAAGTAAAAAAACAAAACGGGAACAAATACAATATTTGTATTTGCATGTGGCCCGCGGGCCATAGTTTGAGGACCCCTGGCATAGAGCATGATGCAACCCCCATGAGGTCATTGCAAACCTGCAGCTCCTGGTCACAACCCTGCATGCCCAGGTGGCATCCCTAGCATTAATGTATAAAGACATGAACAGGCCTTAACGCTACATTAAGCGGCCAGGTCTTTTACCAGGCCTGCAAAAGGAGTACAGAGCATTGCACTGGACAGTGGAGGTTATAAAATGAAATCTCTCAGAGAGGTTGGGTGTCCTTTCCCAGTTCAGGAAAACACAGTAGATCGGTGGAAAGTATTCTATGCAAGTTGACCTGGCCCCAGCCGCTGAAATGAGCATGACTCACTGTTAGCCAGCCTGCCCAGCCCTCGGCGAGCACGCTAGAGATGTCAGCTTTCGTTGTTCTATACAATCCTCTTAGATTGACGGGAGATGGTGGTGTTGAGAGATGAAGTCCAGCACCTATGTGCTGGGCACTGAGAGCTAACCCTCTCCCCACGTGTGCCCCTGAAATGCCAGCGTTTCCAGCCCCCCACACTTCACAGGATGGTCATAAAACGTGAAACATCAGATTCAGCTTTCAGCTCTCTGACTTCTTTGTGCATCATATTCACAAACGCAACTCCTCGAGCTATAACGGAAAAAACAAGTGAATAATTCCCTAACAACAAAGGCTGCTCCTGAGAAGCTCGAAGATGCCCTTCCACTTTCCGGCGTTCCTCTGCCAACGCTCTGCTCTGCCCTATGTGCACTCTCCCATCCTGGGGTCAGGGGAGGCCTGTCTGTCAGCACGTGGCATCTCACGGGAGACTGTACTTTGGCAAGACAAGGATGCCTGGCGTGTCACAGTGATGCCTTGTCATTCCCACTGCACCACCCAGGCCAAAGATGTCATTCGCCATGCCTCAGGCCACCTCTTGCCTCCGTGCTCTGGCCCCCTTCAGGGACCTGCCTCCTTCTCCCCTTTATATACCTTCTCCTCCTCCTCCTCCTCATCCTTATCTTCCTCCTCTCCCTCCTCCTCCTCCCCTGTTCCCCTTTCTCGCCCTCCATGTACCTGAATTCCATCTGCACATCTTCCAGCTGTGACCGTGGCTCCCTACC